AAAACACAGGCTATAAAGTAAAGTATTCCTGTTTAAAGAAGGAATCTCTTCCCACTCTCCCCACTGCAGGGACAGCAATCATCCTTCACTGACACCTGCCAAATGAATGATATTTTGATCAAAATATCATTTGATTAAAATTTTAATGTGACACTGTGAGAATTGGTCATTATCATTCTTAATATGATAATTTCTGAATATGTTTTTAAAACATGTATTACAGTAATGATTACATATACAATGAAAACAACACACAGGTACCCCTTGAAGGTGCTGTGGGTTGGGTTCTAGACCACCAAAGTAAAGTGAATATTACAATAAAGCATGTCACATGAATTTTTTTGGTTTCCTATTGCATATAAAAGTTAGTTTACACAAAGCCACAGTCTACTAAGTGTGCATTAGTATTAGGTTGAAAAATGTACAAATTTTAATTAGAAAATACCTTATTAGTAAAAAGTGCTAATGGTCATCTTAGCCTTTATTGAGTTGTAATCTTTTTGGTGCAGGAGGTTCCTGATGAGATGCCTATGGCTGCAGATTTATTAGGGTGGTGGCTGCTAAAGGCTGGAGTGGTAATTTCTAAAAATAAGACCAGGAATATTTCTGCGCCAACTGACCCTTCCTTTTGCAAAAAATTTCTCTGTAGCACATGATGCTCTTTGATTCTATTTTACTCACTGAAGAACTTTCAAAATTAGAGATGATCCTTGAAAAGCCTGCTGCTGCTCTATCAACTAAGTCTGTGGAATATTCTAAATCCTTTGTTGTCAGGATACAACAGTAACACAACAGTGTCCCCAGCATCTTCTCTTGAAGTGGATTCCCTCTCAAGAAACTAGTATCTTTGCTCATCCCTGAGTAGCAACTCCTCATCTCTTACCGTTTTGTCATGAGATTATAGCAATTCAGCCACATCTTTAGGCTCCACTGCTGATTATAGTTCACGTGGTGTTCCCACAACATCTGCGGTTATTTCATTTGCTGAAGGGTTCAGCCCGTCAAAGTCACTATGAGGGTTGGAATCAACTTCTTCCAGACCCCTGTTGATGTTGATACTTTGACCTCCTCTCACAAATCATGAATGACCTTAGTGGCATCTAAGAAGGGTGAATCTTTCCCAGGTTAACATAATGGTTTAACAAATATAACATTTTAAAATATGTTGTGAATATACATTTATTTTAGAAATCTTCAAAGGCAGTTAATGTTAACTTGGGATTAAATATATACCTTCTAGGAAAAAGAGAAAAAGGCCTGCAATTGAAACACTAGAATTTTATACTATTTGTAAATTGAAAAAATAACTTGTCCACCTCATAACACTGACGTACAGTGCAGCAATGAGGACTAAATTCAACCTTTTTCCCCCCTGCTTGGTTTTCTCCCTGTGATTCAATATAGTTTTTTCAAAAAGAAAACCAAACTAAATCAAATCTAGCAAAAGAAATTATTTTTGCCAGTAGAATATAGTTTGTTGCTAATTTTATCTCTTATCTTTTTGGCTTCTTGGACCCTTGACAGAAGAAACTTCTTCACTTACCAAAGGAAGAAATTAAATTAAATTTAATTATATCACCTCTTCTTGCCTGAAACTTATAGTGATGACTTCAAGTAAATTATCTTCAGCTTTTGCAAGAAACACTGAATTTTACTGTTTCAAACTTTTTTGATAACAGTGACAGAAGTACATGGTTTTAGAGTTTGGGACCATGTAGCTCAATCACCTCATTTTGCACAAAAGAAGTGGAGTGACTAAGTGATTCATCAGCACAAGCTGAGGAGCCCTGTAGCCTTGTCCACACCTTATTTTGCCTTTGACAGCAGTTCGGAGTCCTGGACCATGGTCACAATACATGGGCTCTGGAAAGACAGGGTTCAAACCTACAGGTCAAACACTTAGGCTGTTTTTAAGTCATGGGTAGAAAGCATGGGTTTCTCCAGGCAGGGGGAAGGTCGTCCTGCAGCCAGCCCCCTGCACAACAGATGCTTCTAGTGGCCAGAGATATTCAAGGAGTTCATCCTGATATCATTATTTGAAAAGCTCAGTAAAGATTAAAAAATCAATATACCCTTTTGGCTTTTAAAAATCTGTGAAAATTGTTAATGTAAAAGGAGAGAAACCCAGAGTAATTTTAATACAGAACTTTGCAAAACTAAATGAATGAACACGAGTGTCCTATCCTTAACTGTTAGATCTCATGAACCCAGACACCAGCCAGGCCCTAGTTCCATAACTACTGTCCCCAAGAGCGCACTGGTGTCTAAGGTTGGGCTGCCACACAGCCAGGTGGCAGCAATGTCGCCCAAGAGATCCAATGATCCGTCCTGCTAAAAACTGCAAAAGAATAAAAGGATAAATTAATTACTAGCAAGGTTTCTCCGGCGGTAGCATTTGCTTATGTTAGGGTGGAGGGGAAGGTGGATCCTACTGGTATTATTTAGGGGGGAAAAAAGTGTAGCTTTTGATTGTGTAAAATACTATGTTTAAAGAGTTCATGTAAACTTAAAATAACGTGATTAGGATAATTTTTTCTTTATTTTTTTCACCATACCAAGATTTTGTTTTCAAAAACTGTTTTATACCAAAATATTCTTGCAAAAATAAAATCTCCTCGTGTTTCCATTGCGCCAGAAAAGGTGGCTAAGCCGCCCCGCAGCAGCTCGGGGACCACAGGTGGGACCGGTGAGGCGAAGGCAAGGGGAGGGGTGGGGAGAGGGTCGACTTCAGCACTGGGAGTTGCTCTCGAAAGAGGAACTTAAATTTCTTCGAGAAGGCAAGGGTTAGGGGAAAAGGGAAAAATACCTCATCTTATGTGCCTAAATCTGTTCGACATGAAATTGTACTTTTTCCTGACTGCATTTTAGCAGAAACGTTCACATTTCAGTTATTGTTGCTTGGGGAAAGATCCTTCTGTGAAATCAAACCATTTGCTTTTAAAGAGCAGCGATAAGCCCACACTCAACAGGAGGGCGGTCTGGGCCCCTCCAATACCTTCCATCTACCCAGTGTGCCCCGCACCCACAACCACCTTTCCTTCCCCGGGGAAACAGACCTACTAACGGAGGGCGGGGGAGCGAAGGTTTCACCGGCGGAGTTTTCTGGAAACCCTGGGCTGGGAAGCCTCCGGCGCACGTGCGCTCGGCCGCGACTTCGCGCGCTGCCATTGTGTAACTGCGCCGCTAATGGTGGAGGCTTTTAATCCCTGCCCACTCTCTCCCTTTCTGGTATTGTACTCACAACACCTTCCCCAGTCGCATCGCTGACTTGGAGGAAGTCCAGCTCTTGCCCAGAAAGCACCAATGGAATGGGAAAGTGCGCAACCGATTGATAATACATTTTACAAGAAAAAAATTAGAGGTAAATTGTTGAACTCTCACAAATGTGCCTGGCTACATCCAAGGAACCAAACTTTCTTAAGGACTAGCCTCTGGAGGCAAGTGCCCTCTGCAGGCGTTTCCGAGCCAGGAATTGGTGGCCTTTGGCCCGGGGTCCCGCTCAGGGCGGCCGCAGAGGTCCCAGCCGGTTCTCGCGCGGGCTGGGGGGCTGGGGGCTGTTTGGGGGGGGTCCTTCCCTCCCTCGACCGGTCTCTGCGCACATCGCAGGGCGCCCCGAACGCCGCACGCCCGATTGCCCAGCCCCCGCCTGCTGGGCCGCCCCGCCTGGGGACCCGGGCTCCAGGTCGCTCGGGGTCCCAACAGCGGCCCTAGGACGCGGCGAATCTCTACAAACGCATAGACTCTAATTGACTTATTAAATGTCGAGGCAATCAGGAGGCTCCTTTTTTAATAGCCCAAGAGCTACATTTAGACAAAAACAGATCCGAGTTCCTGGTAAAGGCGTTTCTTCTCATCCTGTCACAAGTGACAGGAACGGAGGGAAACAGACCGGGAGGGGGGAAAGGGAGGGGCGGGAGGAGGAGAAACCGGGGGAAGAGGAGGAGACGCAGAACCAGGGAGGTGGGGAGGGGAGAGGGGGCGGAGAGGAAGGGGACGGGGGAGGGGAGACCAGGAGAGGACCGGGAGGGATGGGGCGGGGGGCGGCGGGGCGTCTGACGAAGATCCGCACCGGGTTACGAGCACTTCTGCGGGTTCTAATTAAAGCCCCGCTTGGAGCCCTCGGGGACCCGCCTGACGTCGGCAGGCGCGGGGATAAGAAGCGCCCCGAGGTCCGAGGCGGGACTCGGCGCCGGCGCACCCCGGGGCGGCCGCGGTCCAGTACTCGAAGCCACCGAGTCCCCGCGTCCCCGTGTCCCATGCGCTCTGCGAGCCGGGCGCCTCCGGGCATGGAGTAGAGGGGCGCGCGTGTCCAGGCGCGAGGACAGACGCCGGGGCAGACGCGCGGACAGACGGCCGAACGCCACCGCGGCTCCCGAGCGTGGACGCAGGTAAGCAGCGGGATCCGACGCGCAGGTGACCGCAGGCGGCGCGGGCAGGTGCTGGCCAGGTCTTCCGGAACCTGGCTCGGCGGGCGTCAGGAGCCAGGGCACTACGTTGGGGCTCTTCGGCGGGTTTCGGGAACTCGGCGCCGGCCGGGGCGACAACGCACAAAGGCGAGGCTGGGAGCTTGAGTGCAGCCGCCCTGACCCGGCGCGCTGCGCTGCTTTCTGGGAGAGGGACCCCTTCTGGGAGAGGCGTCCCCCTGGGCACCGCGTGGCTCCTACAGGCTAAAGAAAGTTGCGCGGATGCTCCGTACTGCAGGGCTTCGGCGGACGCTGCCATTCCGAGGAAAGTTAGGGGCCGGAAAGCGGGGGCGAGGCGCCCGGGGGCAGGGGCTCTTCTGGCTGCTGCGGCTCAGCGTGGCTGGACATCTGCTGGCACCTCCGCCCCCGTCGCCCCCACCTGCGGTCAGGCCGGGACCACATGGGCGCCCTCCTCGGGGACCGGGCGTCCCGGCCGACCCTGGCGCGAGCGGGAGTGGCTCCCTCCCTTCCCCGCAGCCGCTGACTTACTCTCCGGCCCCCAGCCCCTCCCCGCCCAGCCCAGGACCAGAACGGACGATGCGCGGACCCGGGCGCCCCCTCCTCCTGGGGCTGTTGCTGGTGCTGGGGGCGGCGGGGCCCGGCCAGGCGCGCGCGGAGCCCCGGGAGCCCGCAGACGGGCAGACCTTGCTGCGGCTGCTTGTGGAGATCGTCCAGGAGCTCAAGAAACACCAGTCCGGGGAGTACGCGAGGCCGCAGCCCCACGGCGGGCAGGACTGCGCTCCCGCTCACAGCCAGGTCCTGGACTTCGGGCCTTCGCAGGACGAGCAGAGAGTGGGTGAGTCTGAGACACCAGGACGAGATTGTGCTGAAAGAGAATCGGTGTTGGGAAACACACTTCAGAAAGAGAACACAATTTTGATCATTTTTTTAAACGAGATTTTTTAAAAAAGAAAAATTAAATAGTAGCAATAGGAGGTCCACACTCCAGTCCTTCTAGGTAACCATCCTAACCCTCTCTGGCAAGTGTGAGCTGGTACCCAAGTCACTATTTTCCGCACATAATTGTTATCTGTTATTTTCGAAATGTAAGTATTTTCAGCAAAGCATTTTCAACTGAGAAATGTTCCAGAGGTCTCCTGAAGCGGGGCCTTTTCCAGTGGCTGCCCCAGGGGGAATTCCCCAGGAAAGCATGTAAGCTTTTAATGCTTTCATGACACAATTAGGTCAAATATGATAAGGTCAATTTTACGTAGATCGGCTAAAGTTAGGAGTAATTGAAGACTGACGCTGGGGAGATGCCCCAGCCTCACTGCGGAGATGCTGGAAGGGGGCAGCAGTCCTCCTGGTGACAGGCTGGCATCACTCACCACCAGGGCCAAGTCTCTGGTTGAAAACAGAGGATGCAAATGATTACAGATTACTGTAAAAAAGCAAAACAAAAAGCCGAAATGAGGATGACAGTGGGACCCTTGCCGGTGTCCTGTGCAGAGAACTGTGGTAGAGGTTTGCTTGAAAGAGTCTCTCCCTAGGAGTTTCATCTTGTACCCCAGGCTAATGTATGCTTCTGCCTTGCAAACTGGTGGTCATAAAGGCATCAAATCCTTGTTCTAAATAGTTTTCTAGAAAAGGTAATCTTTCATAACAATTTTTTGTTTGAGGGTCAGGTTTTCTTTCTAGAACTTCAAAATGTTGTGAGATTTAATTCCCAAGCTCTTCAAAATAAAAGTGTCAAAAAAGTCATTAATACAGTGAAAGCTGTACCTTTAAGGACTCTATACTCTGGAGGTAGAGAATAGATAATATTGAAGTTTTATGAGCAGTTAATTAATACAATTTGAAAAAGATATGTCCCTGATCATAAGACTTTGCACTGTGTCCCATATAACAATCAAGGTGCTCCAATCTGTTTTTGTTTTTTTAGTTCAATGTAACATTTAATGCAGAGTTCCCAACTACTTAAGATCACCTTAAAAAATGCTTCATTCAGGCAATATAATAATTATTTTCTCTGAAACAGAAATTGTTCCTCGAGATCTGAGGATGAAGGACAAGTTTTTAAAACACCTTACAGGTAAGTTTTCTCCTCATCCCTCACTCCCCTGAGCTCCGTGCTGCCCCATGCATGCATGTTCCTGATCTGTTTCCCCTTCTGTGTTCCAGGCCCTCTTTATTTTAGTCCAAAGTGCAGCAAACATTTCCACAGACTTTATCACAACACCAGAGACTGTACCATTCCTGCATGTAAGTAACGACTTTAGAATTCTTTGTAAATATAAACACAGTGTAGACAGCTGTCTTCACATCTTCCATTTCATCCAATGGGACTATGGCATTAGGGGCCAAGATGATCAGAGCCCTGAAGAAGGTGATGCCAAACTGAAAATCATTTACAGCCACTGGGACAATCAACTTTTGAAATGAGTTTACCTCTTCCATTCACATTCTCCTTTTGTTCATCAATTCTGGCATGAAGGCTGTATATGTCCACTCAACTGTGACAACCACACAAATGTTGAGAATGAGTCACTTTTTTTATGACTTCTGCCCAGGGCTGTCCTCTGGGTATAAAGAACCAGGTTGCCTGGACCATTCCAGTGGAGCTTCTTCCACAGGCTTCTTCTTTTATCAGTAAGTGTAACCTCTTCACCCAGGAATTTTACTATTTCAAAATTCTTGGGGTTTTGGTGGCTTCATCTCCAGTTCAGAAGTGCAGAGCTGCCCTCGAGAACTGCCCTCGGTGGCCTAGCGCCCAGCAGCAGCTTTCTCCCCTGCAGGTCTTCTGGTATGTACCTTCACAAAACACATATTCCCCATGAAGTAGCTCTCTCTGCCTTACAAAACAGAGAATGACAAGGACTTAGACTGACAGAGTCTGAGCCACCTGCTATGTCAGGACTCCTGTTTTCTCCCTGAGGCCCACAGGAGGAAACCTGTGTGCACACCAGGAATCTCGCTACCTGGTCTCAGCAAACCAGACTTGCCTGTCCTGCCTAACCAAAAAGAAAAAAAAAAAAAAAAAGATTTACATGAGGTAGAAGTTTCTATTTTCTTTTTTAGGCAGCAAAGTTACTCCAAATAGTGACCACCATTATTTGTAGGGCTTCTTCACTGATCTGTGCTAGTGACACTCAGCCAGCCAGTGGCACCTGCAGCACTTTGCAGACAAGGCTGAGGCCTGTGCACATCTAACATGTCACACCACCAGGAGGAGCCCTGGGCCTGCATGCCCCAGCCAGGCACTGTCCTAATGCTGAGGCTAGCACACTCTCCCTACGGTTTTGTCTCAAGTGCCACTCAAGGGCACCCACCGGCCCCCTCATCCAGGCCCTGTGGACCTATGACAGTGTTGCTCCCTTAGATTCCATGGAAATGGAATCATCTTGTTAGAGAATTACTGACCTGTTTTCCTGGGGCCACAGGCCCTTGTCATCTTTATTCTTTAAAATAGGCATGTATTTTATATTCAATATTCTCTTAAAATAATAGGATCATAGATTCTAAATGTGAAAGTGACCTTTGGGTCATCACATCTTACTTTTTATCTATGGATGAGGAAGGAGAGAGTTTACATCAATAGTCATGCAGTTAGCAGCAACAAAGCTAGGACGAGGGTCTTATGCCCACATCTGCTACCTCCTTTTGCTCACAGTGACTCAGCTGTGTGACACAAGACTTCTGGTCACAACCCATCCTGGGTCTTCAAGGGTGAGAAACTGGCATATCGAGTGCATTGAGACAGCAGCTCCTTAGGTGATTTCCTCTCCTCTTCTCCCATCAAGAACTGCAAAGCAGAAGCTGGACTGCATCTGTGCTGCTTTAGGCTGCAGAGAAGAAAATCCCTGGACTCCCAGGATGTGAGAACTGAAGGGAGCTTAGAGGGGTCTCACTCAAAGTACGTCCCAAATGGTGTTTGTTGGAAATGCAGAACTAAGTCTCATCCAGACTTACTGGGGAAAGTCTGCACCCTAATAAGGTTCTCAGATGACATGTGTCACATCAGGGTTCCAGAGGTGTTCCTGGAGACACTGGGATGGCAGAGGGACAGGTGCTCAGCTGGGATCCTAGACATGCAAATTGAACTCACACACTCTGCTGCACCCTGACATGTAACGGATTTGGGAAAACTGCTTCTATGAGTAGGTGCCTCCTGGGAAGAGCAGATGACCCAGCTGTCAGTAGTTAGATCATTTTTTCCTCTTTGAACCCAAACAAAACGTGCTGTAAATATTTAGAAGGAATATTTTTAGAAGTAGATTTAGCTATGTATCTAACATATTATATGTATTTATTTTTATTTGCTCATTTATTCACATTCTCATCATGAACTCTTCCATTTTCAAGTAGGATTTTGCCATTTTTGAGAAATGGATTTCAGTAATTTATAAACTATTGCTGCTTTCTAAAGAACCTCATCCTGAGGAAAGTCTCATGGCCGTGATCATTAAACCTCACTCGCTTTCTCTGCAGAAGCCCCTGTCTGAATGGCAGAGGGGGACATTATTTCACCTGTCAGGAGCAGTGGTCTGTAAGCAGAAATCAGTGTATGGCCTCCTTCCTCACTCAGTCCAGTCCAGGACTTTGCTCTGCAACTTGACTTTCAGCCTACTTTCTTTGAAATTTTAATACTGTTTTTTTGTGTCATAGTCAACTCAGGTTGGGGCTCAGTCTGCAAAGCCTGTGTCAGTGTGCTCTGATGGCCTCTGAGGGGAGAGAGGGGCAGCCAGAGCTCCCAGGCTGGACACTCTGTGCCTGCCTGCCTCACCCCAGCTGCCAGTTACATTACCTGACTTCCGCCATGTGATGATAAAGCCCTTGAAGTATCATAAATTATTAAACCAGCAACTCAGAATCCATGATTTCAGTTGACAGACTTCATACTGCTCCAGGGAATCCAGAATATTAAAAAAAAAAATAAATGGCTTTAGCAGTTAACATACTTGCAAAAAAAATTGTTTAATTGTTGTTCAAGTAACTGATGGAAGTGTGTGATTTATTTCTACTGCAGACTATAAAAGATGTGCCCGACTCCTCACTCGGCTGGCGGTCAGCCCAGCATGCGTGGAGGGAAAGGTAAGCCTACACAGCGGCTTTGGGGCACACCCGGAGGAGCTGAACCACACCTGGGACATGAAAAACTCAAGGGAGTTAAGACACACACATTCTTTGGCTAACATAGCTCTACTTTTGAGTAAAGCTGACACGATGCTCAAATCATCTCAAAATGTTGGCCTTAAATAAGAGGTGCCCCCTGCTGGCATAGCCACAGGGCCTTGGGCAGCATAATGAATTATCCATAGGACAGTCTGCATGTTACTCCAAAACATGGTACATCAGCACATCACTCTGTGCATACACCAGGCACACACTTAAAATCAGTCCTGTCCCATGGGGCTTTCACTTGCCCACTGACATGCACAGTGAGTATATGATGGCCCTATCTCTGCAGATTCTGTGATGCCCAGTAGAAGTGTGGGCCTCTTACTGTGCCAGTCAGCTCAGGGAACAGCTCTCCTGAGTGTTCCTGTTGGTGCTGTTCCTTCATAACTCCTAAAGGAAGCACAAAGGCACCAGCAGCACACAGGCTGAACTCTGTGCAGTGGCCTCCCGGGGGGCTGGTAAGGAACACGTAACACGCCTGCCAGCCACACAGCAGCCACACTGATGCAATGCCACAGAACTCAGTCACTTTAGACAGAGAGACACTTCGGTGTCACCAGTCTTGCACTTACGTGTCCTGTGTGGCACTGTTTGTCTACACTGCACAAATGAGACTTGCTTCCTGCCTGTAGACAGCTGTCCAGGAACCCTCCTCACAAAGGGAAGTTCCATTTTCTGAGTGGCCGCACTGGTTTGCCTCCTGTAAGGTGGATCAGAGGGTGGGTGCTCTCACTGGGCAGCTGGGCAACAGTGAGGGGTTGGGCGCCAAGGGCAGCAGGGAGGCAGGTGCTGAGCAGGCAGAGCTGTGAGCAAGGGAGGTGGTGTGGGGTGCAGCAAGTGACCACATGGGCCCACGAGCTGGCATCCAACACAGTCCACCTACTGCACTTTCTCTTTGGGGAGGTGAAGGCATGCTTGGCTCCTCTTCCCAGTCCGATATCCTAGTTTCTTATCTACCAGCTGAGATGAGATGGTACCAGAAAAAGACCTTTTTCTTTTTAAATCAATGAATGAATGTACAAGGTGTGACAGTTAAATTCTTAAACATACCCTACAAAAAGTGCTTCCCACCTCATTGCTGAACATCACTAGTCATCACTAGACTCCCTTCAGAAGCTGTGCACCAACCCCAGTGCCTAGTCCACCCTTCAAAGCAAATTTTCTAGGATGAGTTTGCAAACTTAATTGTTGGACCTGTATTACCACCCTGGTGTTCATTCCAGAAAGAGTTCCAGAATTGCTTTGAAGGGTTGTCTGGGTAGGCACTGGCATTGGTGCATAGCTTCCCAAGGGGCATACTTTAAAGGTGACCATAGTGATATTCAGCAATGAGGTGTAGAGCACTTTTTCTAGGGTGAGTTCTCAAACTTAATTGTCAGGCCATATATATGTTTCTGCAAATCACCCCAAGGAGATACGGCAGGGAGAAGAAAATGTTATTAACATTTTGTCCACTGCTGCTGCTTTATTGTTACATTATCACCCTTTACAGACAGAACCAGGCACATCCTCAGAAAACATGTACATACCTCCCCCAACTGACTGCTCCAGTGATGGAGCTTAGACACATGGAATTAATGCCTCCTGATTCCCCTGTGCTAGGCTGCACCCAACACACCCTGGGCAGGCTCTGAGGACAGGGTCCCAGCATGTGGGCAGGCCTGGTCATGGTGTACAGCACTGCTGCCCTTTGCCTTCACTTCCCCAGCCTGTACTAGTCAATCAGAATGTGACTGTGCAAGAAATACATGAAAAGTGACAGGGTTAGGCACATGTCCCCATCACCTGGGCAGTTCCACATGGCACTGGTTACTGCTGTAGCAGCAGGAGCAGGCTGCAGATGAAGCAGATGAAGTCCCCTCCCAAAACCACACCAAGACTTGGTCTGGAATGCAGGACTTTGGCAGGAAAGCACTGTCCTTTCCAAAGCTTAACTGACCACCTCAGGCCAAAAGAAACTGCATTTCAGCAGCGCCCCCTAAGAGTCACACAATCATCTGGACTTCACAGGTAAGTGAGAAGCCTGAACTCTAGAATATTCTCAAAAAATTGCAGTTTTATTAAGTACCTAGTTTAGTCTTTTACCTGCAGCCTAATTTTAGTAATCTTTAAGCTTATTATTCTTGTAAAATAAACAGCATACCATAGTTTAGGACAGTCTAAAGTGGAGTGCTAGAAATGGCAGCGCTCAACCTTGAAGCTGTTAGCCGTGCTAGCCCTTGTGAGCACCTACAGCTGCCTGGCCATTTCCCCCATTGCCACAAATTAGCTCATTGGGGACTGACTCACTGAGGACTCTGATGGCACATGTGAGGTTCAGCACTGCTCCTCAGCTTTAATAAGCATTCAAAGATACTTATAATTTCTGTTCCTTCAGCACAGTAGACACATAGTAACTGCAGAATTAAGTCAGACAGAATAAAAGAGGCTACACTTTGGGAACATAGAGAAATATACCTGCACACTGAGATGCCTCAGTAAACGTTATATCCCATACCTGAGTCTTACAGATTTGATAATTAAGTGTAATAGTTAAGTGAAACCAACTTTTGTTTTCAGCAGTGAGCTGAGATGTGCAGGAGTGAAGGAGCAGGACACAGAAACCATGAGAAGTGCCTTGGAAACCAGCAGGGAAACAGAACTATCTTTATAAACACATTCCCTCGTCTACAAGAGATTTATTTTTGCAGACTTCCATAATTCTTCTGAGTTTTCTATGTTGTTGACACTTTACAGATATGTATTCAGTAAATCAGTGTACTCGACAGTGACACTTTGCCACTATTTTAAAAACCAAGAGAATGCTCCACATTTGACATGCAGTGCTATTAAATGCATTATTTCATTTTCCTGATTAGGTGAAATCACAAAGAATAATTAATGGGCAGAATCTTAAACTATATTTTCATATAGCATACAGTATGATTTGATACTTTGTATTACTTTTACAATTAAATTCCCAGAGTTTAATTTGAAAAGGCATTAAAAATAAAAATAAAACTTCAGTTGTGTTTTGGAGACAGAAGAGTGAAAATCTGTGAATATATCCAAGCTAATTCCATTTGTCCTTTGTATCATAAATGTAAAATAGTATGCATTGTTGTGCAGTATGTAAATACTGTAAATAAATACGGTAATAAATGAAGTGTTTGTTATAATGCCGGTCTCCAAAGTGACTCCTACCCTCTACCAAGATCACTGTTGAGACTTAAGATTTGCACATCTACACAGAGATCACAACACTAGCAGAATGTCAGAGAATGGATAACTAACATTTTTTACAAATAGAAGCTACTATATACTATATAGTGGCATAATTGAGCCTGATTTGGAAGTAAACATCCCGAATAAGGTTGTTGCCATTATCTCCCACGATTTTGTAATCATGAAAACATTAAACCTTAAGGCTTCTAAGCAGTCTCAGATTTTTACAGGTAAATACATTTCAAACAAATCTAGTTGGATTCCATTTTAAAAGATAAAGTGGGAGCCAGCAAAGCAATGCATTTCCCAGTTGTGTCTGCTCTCATGAACAGATGCACTATCTGGATGCAGCATGAGGACAGGGCCATCGGGAGTTGTCAGGAGCCCTGATTTCTGTCTGAGGAGCTGTATTTATATACATAAACATCACAGACCATGAAGACAGAAGAGCAAAGACTTTCCTCGCTTTCAGATGAAGCCATCACTGAGTGACAAGGACAGGATCTTTTAAGTGTTTTCATGGAATCCTGCTTTCGGACTGTAGCAAATTACTTGGTCTTTTCTTCCCAATTTTTCATCTTCTGGGATATAATCAAACACCCACTCTGTTTACTGTCCCAAGTCTGTCTGAGTAGCTCCACCAGGAGCAAGACCCACTCAGCAAGTAAACTGCCTTCCTGTGGCGATCCTGTGGTCCTTCCACGCAGCATGGTGGGGAAGCTACCCCCTCTGGTCCAGCAGACATCAGCATGGGGCCCCTCTGCCCCTGCGACCCTCATGGTACCCAGAACAGGCACTGGACCAAGAGGCCTGCATCACCCCTTCCTCTAAACTCTTCCTGTTCTTCTAGGCTAGGGGTCCTCAAACTTTAAACAGGGGCCCAGTTCACTGTCCCTCAGACCGTTGGAGGGCTAGACTGCGGCCCCCGGGATGAGTCAGCTGCTAAGCAAGACAGGCAGCGGTGGCAAAAACACCCGGTGGGGTGGATAAATGTCCCAGGTGGGCTGCATGTTGCCTGCAGGCCGTAGTTTGAGGACGCCTGTTCTAGGCAATGATCCGCTCAGCCTTTGGATGAGAATTTCTCTCTCTTTTTTTTTTTTAAAGTAAAAGTTATCCCAGAATTTGAAGATACCAATGATGAATGGAAAATCAAGACAGGGAAGACAGCAAACTGTCACTCACCTGCTCCATAGGAGCCATCTAGGGAGGCCCTGGGCAAAGCTACTTCCAGCAAGGGACCTTACGCTTCTTTCATGAACAAAACACAGGCAGCAAGGTGCCCATTTTCACCACTTAACTTAATACTGAAGATAAATATGCACTTAAAACACAGATCATTTGATAAAACACTACAGGCAATGCTTTTGAATGTTTCTTCACTTGTCAATAAAAAGCAGGCAGACACCAGATTTATATCTCAGTTGTATTTTTATAACTCCCCAGTTTAAGAAAACAGTATTTTCTGACATATCCATATGAATTTGAGATTATCTTAAAGTACATAGAAATTACCTGTATTTGTCTCTAAATTAAATGCTGCTAACATACCAACATTTAAGCATGCTAGTATCATAGAACTTTTCCCAGCATTTTATATTATTTTTTCCCAGCTAAGCCAATTTATATTCAACATCTAGGTTACACATGCATCAAAAAAGATAGACGAGCTTCTCAACTGACCACAGATAAACCAGCATACAAGTATCCTCCTTTCTGGATATAATTAAGCTGGCAGAGGCAAAGTAGTTCAAAATGGAGCAAATGATCTGACCTCCTCAGGAAATAATCTAGGCAAAAGCCAAGTATTAAAGGTGCTAAAGACGGATTCCACAAATCTTTTAAATATACAAGTGTGCACTATGGGTGTGTGCGAATTAAAACATTTCCAATCTACACTTTTAGTTCCCTTGGAGGGAGCTACTTTCACTTACGAATTAAAACATTTCTAATCTACACTTTTAGTTCCCTTGGAGGGAGCTACTTTCACTTTTCACACACTGCATACTCAATGCCAGTAGAGAGGTGGCCCAGGAGAGCAGAGGGCACTGTCCATCCAGCTATCCACATCAACTTACTCAAGAGGTAGACTAGGTTATCCAAGTCTCAAGAGGCATAGGTGATGACCTGGGCCGTCAAGTGAGGTTTGACATCGTGTTTACTCAGTTCTATATCCTTTTTGCTCCACTAATTTTGTAATTAGGGCAAAGTAAGGGGTTCAAGTAATCCACAAATTCTTGCTATTCCCCATAAACTGTTAGAATCAAAGATTTTTATTTATTCTTCTGCCAAACACAACTGATTTCATTCTGCAATTATTTTTTAAGGTAAGAAACAGATCAACTGAAGAAAGAGCTGGGGCTACGGAGCGTCACTGCACCTAAGCCCCTGGCCTGACACAGGCAGAGCCTCGGGGGGTCAAGGTGCTATCAGCTGCAGCTGTGCAGACCCAGCCTCAGTGGGCCTTCTCCAGGAACGCCCTGCAGCACCTGACACATTGCTGGTACACCGTCTCGAAGTCGGAGTCATTCCCCTAAAGGACAGGAAGAAAAAAGTCCTTAAGAAAACTGTACTCTGCTGTTTTACATGGCAGGATGCAGACATGATGTCTTCACCTCAGCCCTGAAGTGTGAACTATACTTACATAGTAGGGATCTTCAATGATAAGTTGCTTTTGTGGATCATAGCTCCCAAGTAGTTCAATTTTAGCTTTGCAGTTTTTAACTTGATTACTTTTTCTATTCAAATCTCTGCAAAATTGAAACATGAACTTAATTTTTCCGATCTACGGTTTCAAGGACATTGCTAGGGTTTTATGATACATTCGTATCAAAATCCAGCAAAGGTAACCTGATATGAAATGAAACAATATTCAGCAGAGGGGCATAGCCCCTTCTGTGGCTGGTGGCCACTGCCCTGCCTCTTAGGCACATTCTCACTGGTGTTGTTACACAAAATAAACACCTTAAGTCAAACAGTAAGTTTCTTCTCCTGCGAAAGACACTGAGACAATCAATCAAAAGACAATGTTTCAGAGATGAAACAGGTGACAGGATTTCTCAGAAATCCATGTGAACCAAATCCCTACTGTCCCCTCTGACATCTCAGCACAGTATATCATGCAGTGTTAGTTTCGTTCACTACTCTTCCTTCTCTGACTCCTCAAGCCCTGCCCAAGCTGAAAACGCAGCTCCACACTTGGCGCCTTCCACCTTTAGCTTTTACAAGAAAAAGAAAAGCTGAGCTACATCTTGCTCACTCCCCCATTTGTTAAACAAATTTCAAGGGAGCATTGGTGATACCTCAGGCAGGGGCTGGGCATGGGGAAGGAACCCCATAGCCAAGAGCCTTCAGATCCCAAGCTGTGTGGTCAGGGTGCTGAGAGGGAGCTGCAGGAAGCCTCAGTCTAATGGATAACCTGGCTGCAGTAACAGGCAGCAGGATGCTGAACCACAAGGGACAAAAAAGAGCTTCCAAGTAAAGGCAGGAGCATTTGCAAGTACAGACCCTGGAGCAAGCAGCTTGCTACACACACACACACACACACTGCATACTCAACGCCAGTCAAGGCGGACCGGGTCTTCTTACTAGATGGTTTTTACAATTCCTATCAGCTATAGTGTAAATGAGAACAAAAAAAAGTTAAGACTTGAAAAAAAAAAAGGGAAATGTAAGCATTTCAAGGAAGATTCTAATTAATTAAAAATAAATACATGAATAAAACTGTTCACCCCCACATAAGCAATTAAAAGTATAGTTCTCTTCATCAAAAACATGAAATATTATGAATTAGCAGTGATGGAAATTAGTTAAGTTCTTGGTTGCACTGAACTAACATGAGTTCTGGTCAGTGCAGTGGCAGGAGGAGTGGCAGGATCCTGCTTCTCTAAGCCCAGGCCTAAAGTCCCACCACACCCACTCGCTAGTTCTATGAACTTGGAAAGTAATGTAACCTCACTGTTCTTCAGTTTCCTCTCTGAGAAGATGGGGTAATAATATGAGAAGGAAGAAGTACTTTGGCATGGGAAACAATGAAATACTACACTGCCCAAGAACCATCACACCAGTAACAAAATCACTCTCTTGCAAAATTATACATTTCCTTGTACAGAACTACATGTCACAGATCAGTTAACCTTCCAATTAAATCATGCTAGTTGGACTTTTTCTTATCTAAGGTATATCTCTCTGTAAATATACCCCTAAGTCTAGATTACTCTAAATTTCTTGCCATTCTAAATAAAATATTCTGTATACTATCACCTCCAGCGTCTATTAAAAACTTTCAGATAAAAAAGTCACTTTGACAACAAACAATTTGGCCTTTTACTGAACTGAGAGTCAAACAGAAATAACACTTTACGAACATGATTACCTCAGATTGCTTTCATCCATACATAGTATATAATCAAATGTGAGGAAGTCTTCTTTGGTAATCTAAAATCGAATAAAAGTCAAAATAGAGTGTTTATACATATGCTGTCCAAGCCTAGAAGATCCAAAGCAGTACTTAAAAAGAAATGCTACATTTCTGTCTGTTACTCAGCAACTAACAAATAAATAATGTACAGCGCTTTTAAGTAAAAACAGTTAACTTATTTCCCAAAGTTGTACTGCAAAGAAATTTCATATTGTTAAATTCCTTTTAATAATCATGAACAGTAGAACAGCAGACACGACATTTACACTTCAGCTCCCCACTCTTAGTAACAAAGCACAATTCAGTCAATTCATGGAATCACCTTCATCTCAACTCTACCTTCATTCCACAAGTCTGAACAGTCCAGACCCCAGGGTTATACACCAAGACAACAGACAGACCCTGCCCTGGGGAGCTGCCCTTCCAGGAGGCAAAAGCCCCAGGAAGCACAAATGCCCCAGAGGAAAGATGAAGGGGAGCAAGGGACATGGGGAAGGTGGAGTGCATCCAAGTGGTCAGAAGGTTCCCCGAGGAGGAAACACATATGCAGGGGCAGCTAAGACCCTTTTGCATTCTTAGAGAATGTGCCCAGTGCAGACCTGACGTAGAAGGAATACAACTCAGTATCCTGCTCATGCTAACGAGAAAACACACCACTGTGCTCTGACATGATTTATAAATTAGCCCATTTATAACATAACAAAATACAATTTTGTGAATTTTGACTGCTACAAATGACAGAATACACACCGATGAATAGATGAAAATAATTTTCCAGCTCGGCGCCTATAGCTTAAGCGGCTAAGGTGCCAGCCACATACACCAGAGCTTAAGGGTTAGAATCCAGCCTGGGTCTGCCAAACAACAATGACAACTACAACCAAAAAAAGCCAGACATTGTGGCTGGCACCTGTAGTCCCAGCTATTTGGGAAGTTGAGGCAAGAGAATTGCTTAAACCCAAGAGTTGAAAGTTGCTGTGAGCTGTGATGCCACAGCACTCTACTCA